CGTTTGTAACGAGAAAGAATAAACTAGTTTTATTTAAGAAAGGGAAATTATCAAACAAGCAGATACGTAACAATATGTACGTTCTAACTACTTATGACAAGTAATGTTGGTTATAGGATTACAAGACATCAAATATATATGTAATAATTAGTATATTGTGCTGAGTAATTAATTACTCCTATGTGTACATAACAATACATTAATGATTATGTTGCTGAGGCCGTAGAGAGGCCAATCATTTCCTGACCACTTTTTCATGGCATGTGTAGCTAAAAGTTATGCATTAAAACTTGTTTTTTTTTTACATTCAATACATTACCTTGTTTGTATACAGTGTTTGTAAATGGTTGCATTTTATGATTTGAGTCTTTAAACTATACTAAGTTTTGTAAAAGTTAGGATTTAAACGCCGAAGGCTAGCGATTCATTAGAAACAATATAGGTTTAACATTTGTAATAAATAATTATGTAAACTGCAGATGGTTTTCACATTCTTCGTAACTTGTCAAAATTGAAGGTGTGTAAAGAAATAAACGCACGTGTTGTCTCCCGCGAGTCTGTTATTTTAACACACTTTTATTACAGATTTACTAAGTGATTAGGGTTGAGAGTATGTGTTTTAACGATGGACAAATAAGGGTTTTCAGTCGAAATTACCTGTTCGTTGGTCACATTCCAAGCGAATTTCAGAAACGGACATCTACTACTGAGTCTATATGTGGGAAAACTTGAATTTTATCATACATTTTAAATGCGGTATGTTAACACTTAACAAGGTAGTGATAAACATGGCGTTTCAGCACTTATAGTTTAAACAATGTTAATATATTGAATATGTTACATTAACAATGAACATGGTGTTTAGCCATATCCAAGGTATATTAACTTAATACTATTAATTAAAGACATTGTTGTGAAATATGTTTTCACATTTTAATTTAGACGTTTTGAACGGTTTGCTAGAGGGAGCTTTTGTCATGACGTACTGGTGACGTATGATGCCTATAAATTTCCTGAGATTCTAGATTGGACGTGACAGATTATTTTGGGCTTTACTTCACGTCTGTCAAAATCGCAACAATCAATTTCAGCCCTTCACTTGTATCTAGAGTGGGGGGGGGAAGAGCTTCTGAGCGCCCCCGGTAATCTATTTAATACCGAAAAAAGTGCCACGGTGATGATGAATTGGATGTGACATCTCGAATGTTCTACAAACTTGGGGGAAAATACTGTAATAGAATCAGTTGAATCAGTTAGCCAATCAGTTCATTAGTTAGTCAGTTCAGTGCTGATTGTTTTTTTTTCTTGTTTTTTATTTTTAGTTTGTGACATCTCGAATGTTCTACAAACTTGGAGGAAAATACTGTAATAGAATCAGTTGAATCAGTTAGCCAATCAGTTGATTAGTTAGTCAGTTCAGTGCTGATTTTTTTTTAGTTTGTGCCATAGATGAGAGAGAAAATTACACAAGTAAGTAAGTGTTAAGTTTTATCTATTGCTTGGTTGTCAGACCTATTGCTTGGTTGTCAGACCTATTAC